TTTAAAATGTTTTTAAATCATTCAGAAATGGGAAAAGTGGAAGCTTTCCTCTACAGCCAATCCCAGAAGCAATATAGTTTGTTGCAAGGATATTAGTCCTAGATAAAATAAGACTTTGGGAAGGAAGGTATTTGGGACAATCCTTCCACATCAGCATTTACATAACTTTTGCTTGGGCAGTGTCAGTTCAAGCCCCCAGGTCTCTACCACATTGCCCTCTCTCCCCAGCCTGGTCTTCCCCTTTCCTTGCCCGTCACCCATCCTGGACTAGGGGGCCATGCTCCAGTTCACAGGGCCTGCTGGCCTTCCTGAAGCCCTGCTGTATCCCACCTGTAGCTCTTTGCCTAAAGTGCCTCCTTTCCTGAAATCTGCCACCTGGACTCCCATCCACACTGTGTGCCCATCTGAAGCCTTCCCCTCTCTCTTTGGATGAGTTCTCTCTCCCTGTACATATTCCTATCACTTGGCAGTCTGATTAGAATGTTCTCAGAATCTGCCTTATATTTCAGAAGTGTTCATGTAGGTGCCATCTCTCCCACTAGCCTGCAAACCTTAGAAGTCATTTCTGAGTCATTCACCCATCTCTGCACAGAATAAAAGATGTTATGTCAGTAGTAAATTGAAGTGAATAGCAAGAAAAAAAGAGGTCAAGGCAAGTAAGTAAAGTTAAAAGGCAAATGACAAACTGGGGAAAATATTTGCCACCTTATTACAATGACAAGTTCATCATCTTTAATATGTATGAACAAGCCTAAAGATAAAGAAAAAGACCCTATTTAAAAAATGAACAGGAGATAGGCAAAGTTCACAGAACCAGAAATGCAGAGAGCCCTTAAACATGAAAAGATGCCCAACCTTACTAATAGTAAAATAAATTCAAATTAAAATGACACATCTAATAGAACACCCCACCAAACAATACCAGATGCACATTCTTCTCACATTCACAAAGAACACTCGCCAGGATAGACCACGTGCTATGCCATGAAACAAGCCTGAATAAGTTTTAAAAAATTGAAATCATCCAAAGAATGTTCTCCAACCACAGTGGAATTAACTTAGAAACCAAATACAGAAAGAAATTTGAGAAATTCACAACTATACATACCCCTAAGCAACCAATGGGTTATGGTACAAGTCACAGGAAACATTTAAAACTACTTTAGGATGAGCAAATGAAAACACAACATACCAAAACTTATAGAATGCCACTAAAGCAGTGCCCAGAGGGAAACTGATAACTCTAGATATCTATATTAATAATAAAAGATCTCAAATCAATAATCTAATCTTCAAGTTTACTTGTGGAGAGGGAAGGATTAGGGAGAGGAGAGATCTGTGTGGTCGTGAGACATTTCTGAATAATTTTGTTTGCAGTTTTGACTTTGCAATAACATAAATGTCTTATATACTTAGAAAAAAAGCAATTCCTAAAAATCCAAAGGAAAATTAAATAAGTGAATCCAACTGTGTATCAAGTTTGCAGGATAAACACACAGAGAAGAATCACTTTAAGTGATTCTTAAAAACCTAATGGACATGCTTAAGGTCCAAAAGAACAAAGCAATGTTTTAAATTGCTTTCAGTAATTGTATCACTAACAGCTATATTGGTATTGTTGCTCTGAAAGTACACCTAGGATAAAACAAGAAAAATTGTATTAATGTCATTAGAATAGGAGTCAGCATAAGCAAAAAGAGACACAAATATAAAATCAAGGACACTAAAATCATTGTGTTTCTAAATTGGAATTGGAATTATCGGTATGAACTCATGATGCATTTTTATATATAATGTTATTATATGTAATTATTATATATAATATGTATATATGTACACATTGTATATATTATATACATAAAACTTCATAGTTCTGCTCACTGAAAAGGCCTAGAAACAATTCAATTCAGAAGCAAATACTGGTTTCTCAGTGCCATTTCCCACTACAAGGGACGAGGGCTCCTTGGAGAAATGGCCAGGCCCAGGTCTAGGGCAGGAAGTGTCCAAGAAGAGCCCCAAACAACTTCTCATTCCAGATAGCAGGGAAGTTCTCAGAGGCTCTTGGTGTGATGCCAGAAGGCATGTGAAATGGGGCAATCTGAGCTATAGTCAGGACATTTACTGCTGTAGATCGAAATGCATCAAACATGTTTTAATCTGTGAATTCATACTGACACTCTGAAAAAAAGAAACATTGGCACCTTGGGATGATGCCAGGAAACAGCTAATTTCTCTGGAAAATGAATCCTTTCCCTTGTCTTTCCCGTGTGAACTGTACTAACCAATTTGTTGAGGGCAAGTTTCGCTTTATAAATGAATTCCAGCTGATAAATGAAGAAGAAATGGTAGAATTAGCGGTTCACTATCTTTCAGGTCCTAGTGGTCTAAAGGCTCTGCGCCATCACCACCAAGGTCTACCAACCTCACAAAAGAGAGACAAACGCCTGTTGGTGCCTCCCACGGAAGGACACACACAGCCCGCGAGTCTTGTCAGTGTCCTCCCTGAAGCCACACAGGCTTGGGTAGCTTAGCGTTGGTCAGGACATGTAGGGCACACAGGAGCATGAGAGACAACAGTGACTTGTCTCAAGTGTCCCCTTTGACAGAGACCCAAACCAAGACCCCCGGAAACAGAATGTGGGTGCTGCCCCCACCTGGGGGTACCCCTGCCTGGCTGCGGCTGCCTTCTCAGAGCTCCACACAGGTGAGCACACAGGTCCTGGTCCCAGCCCCCTCACCGTCTGTGACAGCAGGCAAACTGTTTATCCTCTGGGAGGCCCAGTGTCTTCAATCCTCCCTCAGAATAAGAAATATGCCCACCTCCGAGGCTGGGTGATGAGTGGGTTAATACGCAGGCAGCAAAAGCTGGCACCAGCTAACTCCACAATGCATCGCCCAGTCGCTAGTCTAGCGCTATCACTGTCGGCTTGGACTGCTCACTGGACACCTAGCGGTCCTCGCACACTAACAGCCTGTCCATGATTCCCATGCACTGTCTCAGGACTGGGCCATTCCAGGTGCCGTGCATGGAGCAGAGGCCTCCCGAGAGTGGGAATTCTGTTCGGGATCCCACCCCCCACACACTCCCGCAGCTTCGGCTCCACACTGGGAATATAACGTAAGCCAGAGCCATGAGCCACAGATGTTTAAAGTTTTCTAGTAGTCCCTTTAAAAGGGTAAATAGGAGCAGGTGAAAAAAGAATTAATACTACATTTTATTCAGTTCAAATATACCCAAGATATCATTTCAATATGCACTCAATATAAAATTATCACGAGGCTTGGCCAATTTCTGTGTTTTCTGCTCAGAGAATATCTCAGTTTGGACAGGCCAAATTTCAAGTGTTTGGTCAGCAGCCACATGTGGCTTGGGCCACCATTCTGCACATGGCAGTTCCAGGTTGCCTGCCATACCGTGCCAGCCCCAGGGCGGAGGGGTGTTCAGCTGCAGAGGGCTGGAGATCTCATTCTGTCTGTATTATCTGAGAGTCAAATAAGAGAAAGGGCCAATTTGACTAGTAACAATAGTGTCCACTGGCTGGAGAGGCACTGACTGGTTGGCTGGGACAAGGCTGGTCATTGGCACTGACCACGGAGCTTCCACACTTTGCAGCCATGACAGGGCCGGCCATGGAGCATGCCGCAGAGAAGGTGGGAGGCTCACGCTTCACAGGGCACCTCCCTAACCACTTGCAGTCTGATGCCTGATGTCCCAGGAATGTCCTGCCTCCAAATGCTGCCTTGACTCATGCCAGCAGAACTACTGCCACTTACAGAATGTCTTCTGCCCCTGGAGGGACTCCTGCGAAAAGCTATGAGTCTATCAGACCCCCAGAGCCAACCACCAGTTTACTAAGAAAACAGTCGTGCTGCCAGGCCAGAGCTGTGGCTCGGTGGCATTGCCCTGCTTGCCCCCTCCCTGTGTGCATTGGCAAAGCGTGAGGGAGTCACACTTGGACCCCCAACCACCCACTCTGTTGGGACAAGGTTGTCAACCCTTGGTGGGCACAGACCTGAGAGAAGCTGATGACAGTGAAGGACAGCCCTACTCCCCAGAAAATGGCCCGGCCCATCTGCACAGTCGTCATCCACCCCCAAGTTCAGAGGTGTCCTCCGGGTGTGAGTATGGCCTCCTGCAGCTGGGGGTGGGTGTTGTCCCAGGTTCAGGCTGTATCCCTGGCTCCAGGGGTGAACATGACAGCCTGAGCGAGCTATGCTCCCCTTCACACGTTCTCTGGGCAAGTCAGCCACCCAAAGCCTCCGTGTCCTGGCCTGTAAAATGGGAACTGCCTAACTGCCCTTGCATCTCTGTCACTCATCTGCAGCAGGTGTGTGGGGAGACCTGACCCTGCATAGAGGGTTGTATAGGGGAGAATTTCAGGGTTTGGGCTTTTTCTTTCCTGCCATACTAAGAAAGCTCATGGAAAGCTGGAATAACCAAGCACACTGTTACAGCAAATCCAAAATTCCAAAAAGCTCCCATCATGGCAGCTTTGGGATGGCTAGGCTACAGGTCACACGGGCTGCTGTGGAGGGCGGACAGTGGGGATGAGGAGCCCCCAGATGGGGATGAGTCATGGGGGACTCACGCTGCATTCAAAGTGGAGTTCACCTTGGCCTCTGGCCCAACCTCCAATGATCTGGAAAAGGATTAGGGATGATCAGTGCCATGTGCCGCCACCTCCTGGCTCCCAGGGCCCGGCACTGCCCCCCTGATGAGGGGCTTCTCAAAGGACAGTGAGGTCCAATTGTCTTAATTATGCAAACCGTGCTGACAAGCAGGCGAAGGCCTGGCTGGGGGGAGGGTCACTTCAAAGGGGAAGTTCTAGCTGCCCCCACCACCACCTCCCACTGTCTCAGACCCCAAGGCTGCTCTCCTGGGATCCCACACTGAGCAGCCTGGCCAGCATGGGGCCCTGGCTTCCTTTTTTTTGGCCTGGGATCCAGATCACGGGGCCATAGTCTCACCAGAATCATGAGGCCTGGACACAGGCACTCACATGCTTCTCATGTGGACTTCTCCTCTTAAAGTGTGGCCCTTCCTCAGACAGCTTCCTGCCTGGCCAGAGGAGGAGAGAAAGCTAGGCTGCACCCTTCCCACGCTGCCGCTGCACCAGGTAAGCCCAGGTGTGCATGACCTCAGGTGTGGCTAAGCCCACGTGAGGCTGGGCTTAGGTGCAGGGTCCTGCTTCCTGGGGCCTCTAGCTCTTCTCCTGCTGAGGCTGACCAGACAGGGTGCTGTGGGAATGGCTGCTGAATCCAGGCCCAGCCTGCGGGGAAAAGCATTGTCAGATAGCCACCAGCCGGGCTCCCACACACTGAGGCTTCCTCAGGGCCAGCTTCTGAACACAGGGGCCAGGGGTCTGCTGAGAAGCTCAGATCCAGAGCTCAGCCTCCGCCTGTCTCTCCTTAGCATCTTACCTTGGCCCTTCGCTTCCTGGAGAGAGTGTGTGCCTGTCCCAGAGAGCCCGGGGGACACTGAAGTTTGGGTAAGGGTTTATACCTGTCAGGCTTTATCAGCTGACATTTTAACTATTAAAGTTCAGGGAAAAGATTGGTTACACACAAGGCTGTGGAGGGAGGTTGGGATTCCCTCCCACTCCTGGGGGCAGTGGGAATTAGTTTCTGGAAGGCAGTTCAGCCATACATGCCAAAGAGCAACAAGTCCATGTCTAGGGATCCATCCTGAGGAAATAATCCTGAGGGCAGGTCAAATTTTACATGGCATTGTTTACTACAATGAGACACAGGAAACAGTCCAAGGGTCCAAAACAGAGACTGGGCACATAAATCATGGTCTATCCACAGGATGAAATACAATGTAGTCACTTTGAAAATGACAGAAAAGAATGTGTAATGATGTGTAGAATAATCATTTTTCATTATATACACACACACACGCACACACACACATCTAATCTATTCATAAAAATATCTATTCAGGGTACTGGGAATATACTGAAAACATGCTATCCATTGTTATTTTAGGATGAAGGCTGCATGGGTGATGTTTATCCATTCCTTTGTACATTTCCTCTTCTTTTACTTTAATAATGCTCCAAAATTATTACTGAATTTTCTAAAATAATTTTTTAATTATTTAAAATATACATAATAAAATTAAATTTCCTAAAATAATGACTAAAATACATTTTCCTTTTTTTTTTAACCTTAGCAGCAATAGTGGAGATGTAGGGAAGAATGAAAATAGTTCCAGGAATTGTCGCTGGGATGCCCAGGATGTAGGCAGTGAGAATGAAGGAGGGGAAAGAGGCAGGGAGAGAAAAAAGAACGCAAATTTGCTCCATCTAAATTAAATATTTGGTGAGGAATTAAGAAGGGAAACTGGCCTCTCTGAGAGTGGACTTAAATAATATGGATTTGATTTTAGGAAAGGATTGTTTTTGAGAATGTTCACCAAATACTATTTTACAAATTATCTAGCACAATTTTAACTCACAGCATTTACAATATTTGTAGCATAAGCTGGCCACTCTCTGCAACTAGAAACATAACTAATGTTGAATGTGTTTACTGTAATTGTTTATGTTTTATTGGTTATTTTCTAGGAGGAGTCTGGAATTTGGTTAGGCTCTTTGCAACCTCATTTATTTGCTTTGCAAAGTTGATAAGTACAAGAAACAGAATGACATATGGGCATTTTAAGTAGCTAATAATCTTCATTCTGAATTGACACTAAAACAGACTTTGTATTGACTTACAGTCCTCTTACTTGCAGCAATAGATGTTTTTAGAAAAGTCTCCTTTGCTTTGTTGAAAATGTTTCAAGATGTCCTATAATTTGTGTGTGTGTGAGTGTGAGTGTGTGTGTGTGTGTGTGTAAATTCCCTGGTTTCCTTCCATGACCTAGGGATAAATAGGGTTCCCACATCGTGATACTTCTATTAAAAAGACCGTAGCTAGAGACTTGTTGATATGCAAAGGGATCTGACCAGTCCCTACCTGCCATGCTGCTCTTTGTCTAGCTCCAACATTAGACCCAGCAATCCGTAAACGAATTACAGCATCCATTGGGAGCAACCAGGGCCCAAGAAATGACTGGTGCGTTGCCCCAGACATGTTTCACACACAGGGGCGACTTTGTCAGGCTCTCGTAGAACACAGGTACTAGAATTTATCTTGCTGGTTTCCAGGAGCTGTGCCTTCAATTGCTATACAACTGGGGGGAAAGAATGCATTCACAATGCAGGCGTTGGCTTTAAGAAAACAAGCTAATGTCACCCTGCTGTGCTCCCCATGGCAGCTGCTGTCTTCTTCCCCTGTGCCTTCCCAGGCCCCACACTGCTGACGGCTGCTGCCCCACCTGGTCTGCCCTCTCCATGAATGTGGTGAGAACGGGCTGGTCATGCTTGATATGCCCCAAGACAAAAGTAATGCTGATGTGGCAGGTGGCCTCTCTCCACGGGCCACGGGCCCTCCCTGGAGGCAGGGCATGGCAGCAGGCAGATTTGTCAGGCATGGTGACGTGGAAAACATCCTGGGCAAAGACCATGGCAACAGTGTCCATTTTTGTTTGTGAATCATTGTAAAGGTAATATGTGAATATGTAAAGTTGTACAACCAGGTAGAAGAGGCAGGTGAAGCCTTCTTTACACCCTTCGCCTCCTCCCCACCCCACCCCCACTGCTGAGCATACTGGGGAGTTTGATGTCTATTATTCTACACAAGTGCCACCCAACCACCTGTGCCACAGACATAATTTTAAATTGTCAAGTAGCCATGTTAAAAAAACAAAGTTAGGCCATGTTAAAATAAATGAAATCAATTTTAAAACTTAATAAACTCAATATAGCCCAAATATTATCATTTCAATATGTAGTCCATATGAGTGAGGTATTTTATGTCCTATTTTTGGACAGTCTTACGTAGTAAATGGTAGCATGCTGTCTTACACTTAAATTCACAGCAGATCTCAATCAGACCACCTGATTTCAGGTGCTTGGTAGCATGGGTAGGTAGCCACGTTACCATGGTGGCGAACACAGCTCTAGGCCTTCGCATGGCAAGGTTTGTTCTTGCACAGCTGGCTCAAACCGGAAAGACACTTTTTTTTTCAATTAGTAATAGAGATATTTACACTTCATAACTTCTAAGTTCTATTTTAGTCTTTTTAATAGTTAAGTAGCCCATGATTTGGTACATTGTAATTGGTTTCACCAGTGAGAAATTGGGAGGTTTCCAATTTTTCACGCAGGTCAAAATATGCTGCAACAACCATCCATATATTGCCTGTGTGCATATAAAATGTTTCCGGATTGCGGGTTCCCTGGAAGTGGCTATGCTGTGTGCATTTCGCTCTGTGACAGTCATTCCAGCTCGCCTCCCAAAGCGTGCTTCCCAGAGTCTGTGTGAGAGGGAGACAGGTCTCAGCCATTCTGGCCACCAACCAGCCTAGCGATTTGGACCGCAGTTTCCTTAAAAGTAAAACCAAAGGGTTGAGCTAAACTCTTCTTGTTCCTAAATGCCCAGTTCTATGCCCCGATAGTGGTGGTTGTGGCCCATCCCTGTGGTGGGCAGAGTGGTGGGTAGGTGAGGGCCCCTGTTCCAGCTTCTGCAGGGGGCGCGCAGAGAGGCAGATGAGCAGTGCCAGCTCCCCATGGCCTCGTCTGAGGTCAGCAAACAACACTCAGTGAGGAGCCAATCTCTAGCTTTCTATTTTTTTTTTTTTTTTGGTGTCCCTGGCAGGCATCACAATCCCTGAGGGACACACAAGTGTGTGTTCACATGCACACACACAGTGGGTCTTGGGAGTCCTGAGAGAAGGAGTCTAGGGGGCAGGGTCCTGCTGAGTAGCAAAGGACAAGAAGCACCACTGAAAAGGACAGGATGCCCCAGTGGGAGCCAGTGGGCACAGGGAGGCCACCCTGGCCCTCAAGCCTCTCTCCTGCAGGCACGGGAAGCACCCTCCTACCACGGCAGCCCAGACTGGGCTCTCAGGGAGGCCCTCAGAAACAGTGCCTTCCCACCTGGCTTTCCCTCCTGATGGAGCTGGCCAGGCCAAACCAGGAAGGGGAGCTGGAGAGGTGTCCCCAGGATCTTTGTGGCAATCCACAGGTTCCCAATCAAGGAGGAAGAAAGCAAAGATTAGGACACTCACTAATGCCCAGCACATGATTCTGTTTCTCTCTCTTCCTCTTGTTTATTCTTTCAAAAGAGCTTACTGTGAGCTACAGCATTTATAAGCAGTGTATAAAATGCCTGGGTACAGTTCAAAGGAAAGCAAGGCAAACCCGTGTACGTCACCCTGGCCCCCTCCAGTCGCACTGCTTCGCTCCCTGGCTGTTGGAGGCTCACTCCTCTGCATTTCTGTATCTCTTGTTCTGTTTGTTTTGAGGTTGAAATGTTGTTAACTATTTAAAATAATTTATTGAGATAAAACACAGAGAACATAAAATTAACCACTTTAAAGCAAACAACTCAGTGTTATTTAGCACATTCACAATGTTGCATGACCACAGCCTCCTCTTCCCAGCTATCCAAAACATGTCTGTCACTATCAGGCAAAACCTGCTATGCAATTTCTCCCCTTTCACCTTCCTCCCAACCCCTGGAAAACACCAATTTGTGTTCTCTCTGTATGGACTTATCTATTCTGGATATTTAGTCTAAATGGAATCATACAATATGTGTTTTGTGTCTGCTTCTTTCACTTAGCATGTTTTCAAAGTTCATCCATGTTGTAAAGCCTGTATCAGTGCCTTGTTCTTTTTCGTGGCTGAATAGTATTCCACTGGGTGACTATATTGCAATTTGTTTATCCATTCATTCATTGATGGACGATTGGACCATTTCCACCTTGTAGTTACTGTGAATAGCACAACTACAAACACAAGTGTACATTACTTGTTTGAATACCTGCTTTCAGTTCTTTTGAGTATTTACCTGGGAGTAGAATTGCTGAGTCATAGACTAATTCTACATTTAACTTCTTTAGGAACTGCCAAACTGTTTTTCAAAGTGGCTGTTCTACCAGCACTTTTTTTTTTTACATTTTCATCAGCAATATATGAGTTCCAATTTTTCCACATCCTTGACAATACTTGTTACTGCTTTATGCTTTGGGGTTTATTATTATTATTATTATTATTATTATTAT